ATTGTTACGAGTGTCATTGCGAGTCTACGCTTTTTTGTCGTGGTATCCCCAACCAGCGTGGAGATCTGCCTGTGCGGGGATACATCCGCTGGTCTTAACTCCACGATTGTGAATCCTGAGGTGAGCGCATGGTGGATGATAACACTGGGGATTTTCCACCAACACCATTTTACAAAGGGATTACATATTTCTTATCCCACATCACTTCGAAAGAAGTTGTACTTATGTGTGCGACTTATTTCTAGCAATCTAAGTAAATGAAAATTAGCGGTTTCTGAATTGGCTTCAGAGCAAGCTTTTGCGTAAAACCTAGGCGTTGGCTAGGAGCGTCTGCTCCGGTTTGAGGGACATTTTCTCCAACAAGTCCGACAAGTCCGTATCTGTACGAGGGAGTGCTTCGGGAGTTTGAGGATGGCTACATTTTGCTTGGCGGGGGAAGGCTGGGGTCAGCATCTCGTGTAGAGCACGCTGGCAGGGCGAGAAAAGTTCGATTTTGTGACGAACCAGCTGTCCAATCGCAGTGATGTGCACAGGCCTTGCAACTTTCCATTGTCTGCTGGGGCATGTCTAAGACTTGTCCGTTAGTTAGTTCTCCTAACGCATCAATTCAGCATACGCTAAAATACTCACACTAATCCAGCTCGCTGGCACGACTTGAGCTTCCTACCTTACCTCTCTAACTGTATTTTCGAGTGACTGTTTTTTGGTCGGATGTTCGCTTCTCGCAATGTGCACTTCAAACCTCACAGATGGAGGCGACTGTTAAATTTCTAGGTGCATCTGACAAATTCAGGCTTCTGTTTGAGTTCCAGCCCCGATAGCATAAAGTCTCCAAGGCTTAGCGTCACGCTAATCATAAAAATATATGGTTATGTAGCATTTCGTTATCTGTTTGGCCGACTGTTCAAACCGCCCAACCCGGTGAGTCTTACTGACTCAACTTCGATGTTTAGTTAGTAAGACTTACCGAGTCGGGCGGTTTTAACACTGTCGGCCAATCAGCTGCCGAAATGCTACATAGCCAGACACTTTTTCTGGCTAGCGTGACGCTAAGCCCCGGAGACTTGATGCTATCAGGGAGGTGTGTTTTAAATTTTCCAGTGCATGTTTGAGTAAAGGAGCGGGGAACTGGTCGACCGGCAATAACATGTGTTTTATGGCCCGCTGAGTTTTAGCGTTCATGTGGGCGGGCATTGTCACAGTTGTCAGCAACAACGA